TATTTGGAGTTGGCTCCATCACCTGTTGCTGAGTATGTTCCTTGGCATTTGGTCAACCTTGACAGACACACCTGTCCTCTGTGTCTCCCCATCCAATTACAGGCCTGACCACAGGGTGTGCCAAAGATTGGCAGGGACTATAGTATTTGATAGCATATTCAATATTTAACAAATGTTTGCTCTCTGCCAGGTACAACACTTTATATGATCTATCGTCTTGAAACATCAAAACAGATCTGTGAAAAATGATCATTTCATAGATGATAAAAGCCAGGCTTAAAAGGGTAGATGACTTGTGAAGGTTATGAAGTGGCGGTGGTGGGATTTAAACCAGAGCTATTTTACAATGGAGAGTCCATTTCCCTTTTTTTCTAAATAGGAAATTATAAGTGGATTAAATAAATAATAAATCATTTTATTGTATTTTAAAATTATAAATATTTGTACAATGTGAAACATTCAAATGAGGTCAGCTTCTCAGGAAGGATAAACCAGGAGATTTGTGCTGAAGAATTCAGTGGACAAGTGGACAAGACTCCCTCACTGATGCACAGCATATACCTGGGCTGGGAAAGGCCACCAGCTGGTCTGGGCAGGAGGCATTCAGGTACTGGCAATATAGACAAGGTAACTTGTGGCCTTGGCTGGGTCATGGCTGGTTATGTAATTTAGTGGAAGACAGGTGACTAGAATCATCACTTCCGCCAGTTCTTCAAACAGAGCCTTTTGTACTCAGCAGCAGTCATTTATCAAACTTAAGTGGTATGATTTTCAACAGTCAAATAGGCTAGTGCAAAATATGTTACTAGACAGGAACATTTAAATTTTTTTCTATACTGTTTAAATCAAATCGTAGACAGCTAGCTTCAGACAGGTGGTAGAGGTCTCTGCCCTTCCCCCATTCAGGTCCCTCTCAACTGTGACCTCATTGCTGACATCATATCTCCTAAGGCTGGCCCTGGAGAAGGGCTGCTGATGCCCCTATGGAGGACTGGTGGCTGCACAGTAGTACTGGGAGTGGCATCTGCAGGATGTAGATAAGAGGACACCATTGGACCCATTGGGCCATGTGCCCAGGTGTGCTCAGTGTCATATCTAGGCTTCTACAGGTCTTCAGGTGGCCCTACATTCCTCTCTTGGAATATGGCAAGGGCTAGGGAAGAAGCCGGAGACAGCCAGCTGGTAGCTGGCTGGGAGCTATCATCACACATCATTAGAGTGTCTGTCGAGACCCCACAGGACTGCCACGAATTTATGCTGGCAGAAAATAGCAGTGTCTGCCGCTTTAAGAAAGAAATCTCCAAACACCTTAACTGTGACACTGACCGACTGGTGCTAATCTACACTGAAAAGATCCTCTGGGATCAAGACAAACTGAGCCAGCGTGGCATTCTTGATGGCACTACGGTCCACTTGCTGGGCTGAGACCTTATTTATGGGGCCCAGGTAGACCACATGGGGATAGAGGAACCCCTTAAACTAGGGCTGGAGGACAGGGTCACAGAGAAGACCCAGTGGAATCCACCTGGGCTGTTCCTCAGCTCCTCCATGCACTAGCCAATGCCTGCTCCCAGTTCATCCAACCCTTACCATCCTCATCCCCCCTCATTGAAGGCCTCTACCAGCAAGAACTGGAGCATCTGAAGGCCATGGGTTTTGCTAATCTTGAGGCCAATCTGCAGGTCCTCATGGACACAGGTGGAGACATTCATGCAGCCATTGAGAGCCTGCTGCAGGAGGCCTAGGTCCCCCCAGCTGACGCCCACAAGGCTCCACCCCATGCAGAAAAGGAAAAGGAAAACGGGAGGGAAGAAGAAGGGAAGTAGTTTTTTTTCAGTTTCCTCCTAATCAGATCATATGCACACTTGAACAGCAGTTCCCTCACTACTCAAGCCTGTTCTACATTAAAAAGATTGCTTGGATCTCATGTGTTATGTCAACTTGGGGTAGGTGGGCAAAGAAAATGTAGTTTCTGGGAGGGATTGATCATGTTATATGGTCTTGGGTCTGGGCTTCCCCTCTTCCCATATCTCAGAGCATTCTCCAAATCTGGACACTAGGTGGGGAAATCCTGAGTTTTATCAATATCTTTCTCCTGCTCAATCAGTAAACCAGTCCCCACCAACATTACCATCATCATCACAGTCAGCTCTATTCCAAATGCAGAGACTCTGAAGGGATCCTGGCTTTTGCTCTCTCAAGAAGCCATGGTTTTATAACCTCTGGAGACAACCCACTCTTTCACCATGTTCTCTTGATATTGTAGAAAAGATGTTTAATTTCCCTTTCAGCTAGGGCTTTTCCTTTGGTAACTGCCTATGCCAGGATCCTGTTCTTACCATATCAACTTCCACTACTTCTGAGCTCCATCCTGTCTTCCTATGCAGGCTGCTTCCCTTTATGCGCAAGATGCTTGACTCTGCTGCCTTCTCAGCTACTAAATTTTATCTTTTCTTTTGTCTCTGAATTTCTTGAAAGCATCTCCTCTTCCAGAGCCCATGTTTCACCATCCTCTGCAATCAGACACTCATCCCCAGTATAGTGCAGAAGCTTCTCAAAACTGCTTCTCAATCCTCATCTTCCCATTCTACAGAATTTTATATACTGACCCTTTTTTCTTTAAGCCGCTTCATTTAATCTATTTTCTTATCTGTTATAGAGTAGTGTTTCCTGAGATGAGAGTATGTTACACTGATGCTTCTTTATTCAATTTTCAAAGAGTCTGGCCATTTCCTTGGTTCTGGCTCATATTTCTGTGTTTACGGTTCCTAATTCTTCGAGTCTATTTGCACTTTTCCACTGCCTACCAGCCTTCCCTTTGGGTGTCCTTGAGGAACCTCTGGCTCAGCAAGTCCAAATACAGCTCAACACCTTTCCCCTAGCCCCCATTCTTACTCTAAATCCTGCAGTCCCAATGTCCTAGTGAAAGTCACCAGTGCTCTCAAGCCACTCCATTCTCTTCTGTAAAGTGCTGCTCCATCAATGAAGCGACTCACCACGTAGGCAGATGAAGATGCCCCAAGGACCAGTGGCTATATGTAACCATGTAACAGGAGAACAGCTGATGAGGGGTGTGTGGGGGGGAGCATTTTGGGAGAGATGCTTTGGGGAAACCAGGGACTAAAAATTCAGATCCAGATCCAGTGGCCAGAACTGGCACTTCTCTTGCCTTAACCATGGACTTTGTGATACTTGTTTCTTAGTTATTTTCCTGAGTTAAAAAACTCTCCATTCCCTCTATCTTGATCCTTAAGGTTATGCCTTCATCTGAAGAGCCCAATGTAAAATACATAAACAACAATTAAATTGCTGAATATCTACAGAGTGTCAGACACTATGACAGACCCTCAGCATTCACTGCCATTGTTCTTCTCAACGAAGACATCATGCATTTTTTAATTCAACAAAGAATGTGATTCATACCAGTAGAGTCCACAACATTTGTTCCATAATATTTATTGAGTGCTTATTATTTGTAAGGCACAGACGAGATGCCTGCTGTGATGATGTGTTAGAATGCTATGAGTGAATCAATCAAGAAGTAAATAAACACTACAGATTATTTTAGATGATGCAAATACAATAAAACATAGCAGACTTTTACATATTAAGGATTGTTAGCTAAATGCTATTAGCACAAATTTTTATTGAGTGATTTATGTCACATACTGTGATAAACACTTTGTTACAGGAATATTGATAAAAACTAAGGTTGGGGGTAGTTAAGCGGGATACCATAATTTATGCAGCTATTAGTAAATAAGGAAGCCAAGACTGAATCCCAGGGTTATCTGGATCCAGATCTCAAATTTCTTTCCATTATAAAATAAAATCCTGGATAGTGTATGAGGTATTGTCCATTTAAATGCAAAACCTTAGGAATATTATCCCTTCTGAATCAGAGGAACTTAATTTAAAATGCAGATAATAACAACTGTATTTCCTAACTGTTTGGAGGAGTATCTGTGAATTTTTTATATATTTTAGAACTGGGGTTGCTAAGGAAATGAAGGGCTATTAAACAAGGCACATGGATTCTGAGAAGGCTCCCCTGAGTCCTTGATAAGGGATAATTTTATGGCTAAAAGGAAAGGATCCTCCACATGGGAGACCAGAGGAGGAATGGGAGAAAACAGTTCTAATAAGCACTACTCATATCCCAAGCACTAGGCAAATATTTTAGAGTTGTATATACATAGTAACCACAATAACCCCTTGAAGTGAAATCATATAAAACAGTCTTAAGTAAGTTATAACTTGGCTAATAATGTTTAGAGAGGTTACAGGACTTTCTCCTATTTATTTATTGTTTTACATGTTAGGCACTGTCTCAGGTTTTCTACAATCATTAATTCATTTATTCCTCCCCACAACATTGAGAGATACTAACATTATGCTCCATTTAACAGTCAGCCAAACTGAGGCATAGAAAGATTTAACAACTTGTTCAAGGCCATAAAACTCGTAAGTAGGGAAGCCAGGATTCAAACCCAGGTACTCTGATTTTAGAACTTCTGTTCTTAAACACTACCCAAAGTACTGAAATTCAGATTAAATTTACTTCAAACATTCCTTTTTTTTTTCTACTTGGACTCCCAGGAGAATACCTGCACTATGAAACCCAGACTCCTTTCAAGAACAGGAACTGACCTGACCTTTCATAAGTCATAAGATACTTTTGAGGCAAAAGTAAAAATATAGGAGCTTTGTGCTGTAGCAGTACTGTAGCTAATGAGGTTTACCCAAGATGTGGTTATTGCTAATTGAAAATGTTTCCCAAAAGCAAAAATATCATCATCTTTCTGGGACACTCAGGACTGCTGAAGTTGCCTCAGGAATATGGCATGTTCAGTGTAACTCCTGACATCTCAGATTCATCTAACCTTGCTTCCTCCCAGGCAAACACATTACACTCATATCAGAGATCTCCATCCATGTAAATGCATCTGCACAGCTACCATACCCATTTATTTTTCTGTTCTCCAACCTCTGCTCAGAATTCATATCGACATTTTCCCCAAGTGAAGCAGTCTTAGAAATCGACTCTGAATCTCCTTGGTCCTGGCCCCATAGATGATTGGGTTGAGCACAGGAGGCACCAGCACGTAGAGATTAGCCAGAAAGATGTGTACATGCTGGGGGACTTGGTGCTGGCCAAAACGGTGGGTGAGGAAGGAGAAGAAGGCAGGGATGTAGAAGACGAGGATGACCCCAAGATGAGAGCCGCAGGTACTCAGAGCCTTGTGCTGGGCATCACGGGATGGAAGATGAAAGACAGCATGGAGGATAAAGCCATAGGATATAGTAATGAGAATGGAATCCAGACCCATGGCCAGCAGGGCCACCGTCAGCCCATAGACAATATTGACAGTGATGCTGGCACAGGCCAGTCGAGCAATGCCCATATGCTCACAGTATGTATGTGCCAGGACATGGTGGCCACAGTAGGGCAGTCGCCTCAGCAAGAAGATGAAGGGTGAGACAACAGCTATACTACGGAATACCCCCACAAGGCCAATTCTGCCTATGACAGTGTGGTTGAGGATGGTGGTGTATCTCAGTGGGTTGCAGATAGCCACATACCGATCAAAGGCCATGGCAAGAAGAACCGAGGACTCCAGAGCATAGATAGAATGGACACAAAACATCTGGGCTAGGCATCCCGCAAAGGAAATCTCACCAGCATGAAGCCACAAAATGGCCAAGGTCTTGGGCACAGTGGTGGAGCTGAGGGCCAGGTCAGTGAATGAGAGAAGGCAAAGGAAGAGGTACATGGGTGCATGAAGGGTGCTGTCTGTCACAATGACCAGAATGAGGGCAGCATTCCCAGTCAGCGCCACCATGTACAAGGCACAAAAGGGGATGGCAATCCAGATGTGGGCCCACTCCAGCCCTGGGATCCCCGTGAGGTAAAGAGTGGCTGGGAGACTGTCATCACTGATGTTGGAAGCTGACATTCTGCTTGGCAAATAAAGGGCTGTACCAAGGAGTGATGGTACACCTGCCCTGTAACACCAGGTGTCTGGTTCATTCACATAAGGTGTTGGCCATTCTGTGAAATAATCTTTTTAGGCTGAGAAAAATATTTGTGGTTACCAACTTGTTCAAGAATCTTAAAAGACTCTATCACATATAATCTATTTTTTTCCATTGGCATTTTCTATACTAAATATTTATACTCTAAGAATTCTTCAAGCTAAGAATTTAAGGATTTGCCCAGTTTAATCCCTCCAGACTTTTCTCCCACATACATCTAGGGAATTTTCTTGCCTCTTTTTTAAAAAAAGTTATGCTATTCCATATGCTCAAGGAAACTTTTTTTCTTTATTTTCTCCCTTTCTAGTTTGTAAATCTCAGGGCAAGTTTCTCTGTCTCCCAGAAGCCATGCGTCTCTAATCCACTACTTCGCCAAATGCTGTTGGGCTGAGACTGTCATACAACTGCAACCTCCACACAACATGGGTGTGTTTGTAGCTCAAAATATAATCAATATTTACTAAAATATTCAATTCTTATAACTCTTAGTAACATACCATTGACCTCTTGATCTAATGCTGTGATGAGTTATTTATTTAATCTGTGTTTGTAACATTTCATCCCAGATATACACCAAATGGCTTATTTTTAAATCATCTGAAGAGCCTATAAAGAGGCTAGGCGACCTGAACATACTGAAATCTGTCATAATTGGTTATCCACAGTGATCTGAGCACACACATGAAGGAAAGCAAGAGATGTGTCAGACATGCTTGCTGGGGAAGAGAGGGCCCCTCACCCTGGCAAAGCCACTCAAGTCCTGTGTGCCCACCAGTGTGACGGGTGTGTGTAGTGGCTGGACCAGGATGCCAAGTACTGACAGAAGCAGGCTGAGGGAGTAAGTGGAGTGTCTGAGAGTTCCTGAACAGTAGACCGTGAAGAGGAGAACAAATTACTTTTTGTTACAGAGAGCTAGTACTATATACATCATTCCTCAGTAAACTTGTATACCTCAAAGAACCCTTTGTAGGATGTCTGGATCTTTAGGCTTTTACCCGACACAAGAATGTTGAATGACCTTGAGAAAATCTTTCCCTTCTCTGGACAGTCTCTATTTATAAAAAACAGTGACTCTAGAATCCTAGTCCCCACTTTTCTACTTATTCACTCTTTAGCATTGGCTAAGTCCCACAACTTTTCTGAGACTGAATTTTCTTGTTTATAAACTGGAAAAGGTGACACTGGTTTACTTATCTCACCTGGTTTTTGTGGGGGACAAAGAGTAAATCATATGGGGTTAAAAGGTTTAGACACCAAAGATTATGTCCTGCCCATTTTTACAAGCTTTTTCCCATAGCCACATATTGGGGTGAGAGAGAATCATAATTATTTTACCTCTATTTTACCAAGGAGAAGTCCAAGTTCAGTGAACTGCTGAAGTCCAGATCACAAAAGCAGGTTGTTGCTGTCAAAACTGAATTAGGTCACAAGCCTCCTGATTCAAAGTCTGATGCTTTTACTTCACTGAGTTGTCTGTCCATTTATATGGCAAACACTGGAATTCCTACCTTTTTCTTGAGAGGCTCTCTAATATCAGTATATCTAAAGTTGCAACCACTTTACTTAATATCTGGACTCAAAAGAGACAGATAAAAATGAGAGCCCCTCTTACTCACCTGGGGACTTTGACTGATGGCCCCAGCCCCTAGAGGAAAGAAACCTGGGTGATGGAGAGTGGAGACCTGGAGTCACTATCACCTTCTCTTCCCATTCCCCAGCCTTTTCTTGCTTGCGGAGGAAGATTTCAAATGGTTACTGTATAAAGAAGCTGCTACTTTATGAGCATCTGTGGATGTAAGAGAAAGATTAGGCACAAGAGAGGCTGTCTGCCAAGGAAAACAATGGGAAAAAGACACTGAGCCGGAGGACCACTCTGGGCAGAACGGAGTATTCTTCCATTTGTCCCACTCAGCATTATGATGGCTAAGTTTTGAGGTCTCCCTTAAAAGACCTAGACTTCAACAACTGAACTCTTGAGTTCTTCCTCTGATCATATTTTTTTGGGGAATCTGATTTCCAACACATACCTGTGTGAGTGGCATGTGCTCACAGGTGGAGCTCTGTGCCAAGCGTTTCGGGTGGGAGCGTGGGCTATGTGGGAGAGCACATGGAGCCGCAGCTCGTGCAGGTGATGGGCGCCTGGCTGCAGTGGTTTGTCCGGGGATGTGAGAGCTGTGTTTTTATGCAGATCGCATGGGTGTAATCTGGAGGACAATGGGGTTGGAGCGTGTAATATGGATTGAAATATCTGATCTGTCTTCAGTTCTGGGAGCTGAGCAAGTGTCTTCAGTTTAGTTGTGGTTTCCTGCTTCCTCCAGTCAAGGGACTTGCTGAGTGAGGTTATTTATTGACTCTCTGTGACACTTAGGTGTGAAACTCAGGAGGGAGGGGCCTGCCCAGGGGATTTGATCCATGCTGCTCATTTGCAGGGAAGGAGGAAGGAGGGGCTGAAAAAGGATGAGGAAGGGAAATTTTCCACAAGGAGTTTTTAAGCGAAGTGGAAATAAAATCTAGTAATTTTTCTCTTCCCATTTACTTTCTCTCTTTTTTTCCCTCTGCTTTTCTCTGTAATTCTGTGTATCTCACCTAACTTCCTTACATTGTGGCCTATGGCATTCTGTGTGCATACAGCATCATTAATGTTACAGGAAAATACAGTGGCAAGAAATGGCTGAGGACATGCCCATGCTCCACTGTCCCATTAGCTTTCATAAGTTCAAAAATGAATTAAGAACTCCAAGAACATGGCACCCAAACACTGAAACAAACATGGGACCCTCCTTCTGAGCATGGGCCTTATGCTACCGCCCAGGTTTCACACCCACAAAGCTAGTCCTGGCAGAGAACGTCAGTTCTGCAGGCAGATCACTCTACCCTGACATCAGCCATCCGTCAAGCTGTTGCACCAAGGACGCCTTCCATTAAAGCCTTCAGAATACTGCAGTCTTTTCCCTTGTCCACACCTTTTCCCCTCCTATTAATACAAACGAGTGTTCCTCGAGAATTTTTGCCTGGTTACTTTCTAAAAGAAATTTGCAATAGTCTATGCCCTCTCAAAAATGTTAAGTTGACATCTAAAAATTGTTATTTAATATTTATATAGTAGAAAGTATATAATGTTCAGTATATTGTGAGCATTGACATTTTTAAATTAAAATGCCACATGAGTATTTTAAGTGTATTCTATGGAGTCCAAGTATCCTAGAAATTTTCTTTCCCCCATTATCCATTAAAAATACACAAACAAGATTTTCATAGCTGTCATAAACTTAGCATTATTGCTTTGTCTATTTGAAGTTGGTCCAATCCTACATAATTTTTATGCTTAAAAATCTTGTGATCGTCATTCTTTCATCATTGTTTGCAATAAAAATATGTATACACATTGGAATTATTTTCTTTTCTTTAATCAATTGGCTCCAGGTATTAAAATGTTCTCTAATTACAATGTTTTAAGTACACATTAATTCAAGCAATGTCAAAAAAACTATAATTTTATAAATTACTAAGCAGAAAACTATTTCTTTGAAAATACCGTCCTTATTTTCCTGTTTTTTCCTCCAGTTAGTTTATATATTTAAAAAATCAATATTGGTGGAATGAGACAAAATGCCTTCAGTTCTACTGAATTTAATTTTGTATAAAACTAAGCTCTGAGAAGCCTTGCTTTATATGAGTAACTTAGCTGAGAGTAGAAGGTGTTTGAATCCTGCCATAATGGAGAGGCAGTAACTGCTGGAATCAGCTTCTGTCCTAAAATTCTGGTTATTGGAAGCTCCAAAGAGAGTGCTCCCAGAGCTGGGACCCAGACTTTTAAGGATGGGCAAAGAGAGCTGATGTTGGTATATTTGAGGAACATTTGAGAAGGTTTTGAGGAAAGAGTGGGGGAAAAAATACACTGCAAACTGGAGCCAGTTGCTTTTATTAGAATTAACTGCTGTTGCCAAGGAGAGGACAGTTGCTTGGGTGACAATGACAGGAACAGAGAGCTGCCAGGAAAAGCAAATCCCTGAACCCTGCCTCCAGCTTTCCTGTCTACATTTAATGCTCTCCATTGGCAGAGCCTAACAGGGTATTAATTTCAGAACTTTCAAACGCTACCCAAATACTCTGCCTAAAGTCACATATTATTCTTGAAATACATGTAAGATCAGGAAAGCAAGCTAGGTAGATATTTGGTGACTGAATTAATAAAGTGGCTTGCTCTAAGTCACTAATTCAGATTATCCCGTGTGGGCTCCTGTATGGCAGCAGCCTTTCTCATTCCCTATGCCTGCGGAAGTTTGTGAGAGGAAAAACAACGGTCTGTTACGGAAATGAAAGAATGCTATTCTTTAACAACTCAGAGAAAAAATAAGATGTTTTCAATGTTGGAATTTCTCTCTCTTAATTTCTCTTAAGCTTTGTGATTTACTTTTGTTTATATCATAATCTATTGTGTGATATGTGGTTTAAAAATACATATTTAAGTTTAATATTAATATATGCCATGATTTTGTCAAAGGAAGCACAAGGTACATTTAATTTCCCACCTAAACATGCTTTTAAATTGTAGTAATGACAGTACTTCAATAATGCTTCCTATGAGCAGGACCTGTTCCAAGTCCAAGTTCTTTTCCTCTCTCCCTGTCTCTGATTCTCTCTCTGTATATGGATCTGGATTTGTATATCCATACCTATCTCTTTGTGCCTCCCATGCTCAATCCTACCATCTATTCCATTAAAACAAAGGAGCTATGCTGCAGGCTTCCCAAGATGCTAAGGTTAAGTCCTGAATCTAGAAGCCCAAGAGGACTTCGAATCAGGGGTGTAGCCATCCAGGCACCAGAGGAGGATGTCAGTCCTGCACTTTAAATTAGAGCATCAGTGGTGAATCACTTCATCTACTGTACTGGGCCAGCACCTTCCAGGACCATTTTGAGTCTAATCCAGA